TTAAGGGTTAATTAATTAATGCATCAAGCAAAAGTTATTATAGGATAGCTTTGCTGCCAGTGTTCAAAACATTGGCAATCAACTAGTACGAGTGCACAATACTTTACGTCTTTTAAAAAAACCTGTTTTGTTAATCACTAAAAACTCCCCCCGCCTTGATTTCAGTTAATAAATGGTGAGATTTTTATAGACTACAACTGCACTTAGCAGCCCCATCATAACCCAAATCCTGATTTTAGTTTTGAACAAAAAAATTGAAACTGTTCGTAGAAAACACAACCTTCCTCCTCCAAGATCTACATCAGTGTCAGCCTCTCTAGTTTCTCTACGTCAACTGCTGTTCAAGCTTCTGCCAATGTTTTGTTCTTTCTCAATTTAGAAAGATAAAATTGTTCTAGGCCTAGGAGGGAGTGCGACTCCCCTTCTACGACAAAGACCCAATCTATCAGCGCTGCATGGGGAAGCAACATGAAACGGTTTTCTTCCATTGTGAATAAAGGTACTACCAGGAAAGGTACAGGACCGCTACAGATGGGCCAAGACTGACAAAGGTAACCTGTTTGGTGCAGGCATCCACCTCAGCCTCTGCTACCCCTTCCTCTTTTATGATCTTAGATGGCATCAGGATGGGAGCAGGGCAGGAATAAGGACCTCCTCATTTAAATACCTCTAAAACCACACACAAAACCATTGAAATGTCTGACACACAGAGCAAGAGCACTTTAGGATGAATGTGTTTCGGGGACAAAATTCTCCTCCTGTACCATGCAATTGTTTGTCCAAAAAACACAGGGTCGTCCATAAAATGCAGAAGTGGAACACAGGGGATACACAACTTCACTCAGATAAATCCACCGGGCTTTTGTACGGCTTCTTTACACAGGCGAGAGGCCATCGGGCACGCAGCACATGATTAAAACCATGAGGTGTACAGAGTGCTCATCTCATACTTTGCATCCACAATACATTCACCCTCAAGATGCACTTTCCCATCTCTGCTGTAGTTGTATCTGATTAGTAGTTTTAGAGGTATACATTGCTGCACACATGACAACACCAGAAAGACCATAAAGAAGAAAAGGCTAAGAAAAGGAATGTGAGATGAGAGAACAAGGCTGGGAAGATGCAATGAAAACTGGCCAAAAGTGTTAATATTAGTTGCAAATGGTAGGGGGATTTTTTTTTTTCCTTCTTTTACTGTGATGTTAGAAAGTTTCTCTTTCTGGTAATACAAAGCCCCATCCAGTTTAAAGGCCATTTTGAAGGTATGAGCTCCTACTCTATGCAGTCCACTGACACAGATGACAGAGCCCACACCAAAGCGACCAAGGTGGGTTTTAGAACCAGTTTGGCCCATCTCTAAATACTACCCATGAAAGAAAAAAGCTACAAAGCAGGTCCAAAGCAAGCACCACACAGCGGAGGGAACACATCTCATGCAGAGTATTAGGAAAAAGCTGAATACACATGAAAAAAATTAAAGGAAAAACAGTCACAGATCAACAGATCTCCATGAGAAGCCCCTGCACAGAAAACTTCCAGTTAGCAAGTATCTTGGGCTAAAACAAACACAACTCTTTACAACCTCAGGTCAAGGTTTCTCTGCAGAAAAGAGTTAGAGCATAGTCTTCATACAGTAGAAGTTATTTACACACATTTGCAAATACTTTCAGAAGATAAAAGCTCTCCCTCCGGTTCAGACTGAGTTCAGTTTAATCTATATTACATCGCACCATTGTGTTCTGGCACCAAAACACCTATTCTGGAAGAGGAGTTTCCAGCAGCAAGGACAGTGTGAGGGCAGCCTCGCACCTGAAAGCTGACAGAACTCAATGCACTATGTATTTCCCCCCTGAAATCTCTGCTGCCATGACTGCCCAAAACAGTGTTAGAAATGGCCCGTGCCACATCAATACTTGCAAAGGAGATGATGCTCCCTTGATTTACCAGCAATGGCACTGCTGATGGGCAATGGCAGGAAATTTCAGTGAAAAAAGCCTAGAAAAAAATAGGGGGAAAGGCCACTTCTTGCCACATGCACCTGTGTGCCCCAGGAACAAGCTCTACAGGGAGACTGCAATGTATTTTGTCTGCAAACCGCAACCCTGCTCTGAGGGGAAGTGTGAAGATGGCCAGGGCACTCATTCTGCCTTTCCTTTCCCCCTCCATCCCTATCACATGCCACAGACTAACAGGGAAGGAGCACCTTCTTTTTCCCCTACAAAGTATAAATGGATGCTGCCTCTGGCCCTTTTGGAGGAGATGGAAAGGGAAGAAAATAGCATTTCTGACTGGTTTTCCCCTTGCAATGACATTTCTGCTCTAGAGTAGGCTGTTCTGTGCATACTTACAGAAGCAGCTTGTGTACACCTCTTTTGCTGCAAGACCTGGAAATGGGTGTCTGCCTAGCAGAAAGGACTGTCTTCAGAAAGAAACCGTGACCACTGGATATTAAGTGTGAGATCGCATGAACTTCATTTCCCCCTACGCTGAAGAAATGGATTTGGGAAGAGGTGGAATGGGTCAAAAAACCATCCTGTTTTTTTAACAGTATTCTCCATTTCATGTCTCACCAGCAAGCACTATTAATTAAAACTTTCCAGCTATCAGCATGCTCACTCCATAATGAGGATCAAAACAACCCTGATTGCTAAAGAGAAGTTAATCAGTTTAAGCATTACTGCTTTTAAATCAACTGGCTCAATTCCACCATCACAAGACATGTTTCATTCCACCTGCTCCATTTCTGCATTAGCAAGCAGCATCATTGCGGGGATCCCCGGCTGCTCTTCTCAGAGCAACCCAGAAAGGCATCCAGCTAGCAGGGAGAGCCAGAGCTTCAGGGAGCGTCAGGAATTGCCATTGGTGGCATTTTTGCACTTCAGCTTGGGATTTCTCATTTTGCTTTTCTCAGTCCAGTGCTGAACAAAACCCAGGAGGCAAACACCTACCAAGTCTTGGTCTCTGATTAAGCTATTAATTACATTAATTAGGGCACGCTCATGACTTTTCATTAAACAGATCCCCACTCGCCTCCTCGCACTGCAGCGCTCAAATCTGTGTCTCGTTCGAGGCACGTTGAAAAAACCCCAAGACTTACCGAATGTCGTCCCTGCCTCCGGCCTGCTCACCGATGAGACAATGACGAAGCCAAACCCCTCGTTTTCGCCACGGCGGATTTCCACATCGTAGGGCTGGACCACAGTGCTGACAACACCGCTGCCCCCGCCACCACCGCTGCCGATGCCACTGGTGCTGCCGCTGCCCGAGCTGACGGTGTTGAGGGAGTTCTGGCTGCCCTGTGGTGTTCGCTTCTCTTCCGTCAGCGAGGCTGGCTGGTTGCTGCTGTGGTGGGAAGAGGCTGGGGATGGGACTTCATTCTCTGCCTTGGGAACTGGGGAGTTAAAAAAAGACCGTCTGAGCAAGCTGCATCATTTAGTGCTTGAAAAGTGCCATCCACTGAGAAAAAGGTAAAAAAGTAAAGCAAATCACCTGCTTTAATCTATAAATCATGGCCAGAGTGACCAAGGGCTGTGTCTCCTTTCAGATGTTACCACCAACAGCTCTGTTCAGTGACAGCATTGACCACACATGCTCATCCTCTCCAGTGTACGGTCATGCAGCCAAAGCCTTTCACTGCTGAACAGCAGCAGCAGCAGTACGGTTAAGCCAGTGCAGTGCTGCGTGCTTGGATGCTCTGTGGCATTTTAAACCTGGATTACATTAGTTCAGAGGTGCCTCCTTTAGATATCACATCCCCACTTGAGTTATATATGTGCAACTGTGTATATGTGCATAAGCCGTGAGAAGAGAGAGAAATATCAAATACCCATCACTCAACACCTGTGTATTTTTTAACTCAATGCTATCAGTTGGGTAGCACTGATTGCCTTCGATTAACGTGAGTTAAGTAATAATAACCACTCATACTAAAGTAAAACAACTTGTGAACCAAGCTTTTCCGGATGGAAGAACCAGCAACTATCAGCTATACAGCCTGGCACAGTCGGGGGGGGAACCATTGAACATTATTAACATTAACATTAAACAAGTGTTTAACAGCAACTGAAGTTGGAAGTGGTATCAGTTTAAAATCTATTCAGCTACCAAAAGGCTTGAAGAAATCTCAAAAAAATCGCTTTGTCCACACTCTGCTTGAGTCACAGCCAACTATACTTACTGTCAGTCCTGACAGATGTTTGTCTAATCTGCTGTTAAATATCTCCCCAGGCAATCTATTGGTTGCAATATCTGACTTAAATCTTCCCTGCTGCAACATAAGGCTATTATTTCTAGTTCTATCTAGCAGGCATATGGAGAACATATTATTCCCTTCCTCTTTGCAGCAGCCTCTTATAGTCTTGGGGAGTTTAACACCTCCTCCCCCTTCTCTGCTTCAGGCTAAACAATCCCAATTTGTTCAATATTTCCTTGCAGACCATGTTTTCTAGAGCTCTCCTTATTCTCGCTGGTCCTCTGGACTCCCTCCAGTTGGGCTCTCTCCAAATCAAACATGTCTTTCTTCAAGTGCCGGACCATATTGCAGCTAAGCCATCATCTGCTGGGAAATCAGGAGAGTTCCCCCCTGCCTACATCCCAGCACAGTGTTTTTCTTCACCTGAGCCAACCTCAGGTTAAAGCTTGTGGCCCACAATAGCTTCTACTTCTTGTTACTGAGCCAGTTCTCCGCAGTCCATTTGCACAGCTGAGAGCAGCATATTGCACTTGTCTCTACTGAGTGGCTGCCTCTACTAATCAGGTCACTTCTCCAATTTGGTGAATCAAAATTAAGCTGAAGATCTTAAAAGCAACAACAAGAAAATGGATGCCAAACAAAATCTAAACCTGTAAGCCCATGGTCCAAAGAAAAAGAACTTTAAAATATTCTTGGAAAGCAGTACCTGTCTTCATTTATATACTCAAAGTATGTACTGAATATATAGTATTCTACATATTAAAAATACAGGAGTATAAACTTCCCCTACATGAATCTCAAGTCATGGAGTACCCATTTAGATGAACAAACTTTTTCTACTGGCATATAGATGAGAGGAGGAATAAGGGACCGAAATTCAGGAAGAGACTTCTCTACAAAGTTATGCTGGAATTTAAAAGCCTTCAAATATAAGGTGAAAGAAGGGATCCTGAATAATTTATCCTAGAGTAAGTGTCCACATTTGAAATGATTCAGAAATAGCTCAGTCTGGAGTAACAAGCCCCTTAATGAAATACCAAGGGTTTTTATCGAGATCTCTCATGAATCTCACTCTTTTATGGTAATTTCCAGCCTGGAGGCTATAAAACTGGACAGAAAATCTATGCACAAAACCACCACCAACATTCAGCTGCCCATCTCCTTCCTCACAAAGCTCATCTCCTAAAGCTTCTCTCACATTGGCAGCTCTTTGTATGGAACAACAGAGGGGCTATCAGAGGAGAGACATAACCCAGCATTTAATCCACAATGGGAACAAAGAAAGAAAGAAGAAGTGAGCATTTATTTAATATTGTGCAGAAGGGGCTCAGCCCTGGATAAGAATACAGAGCTATTTTAGAGGTACTGTTCTAGTCCTAACTTCTACTGCGGGCTTAATTTTCAACTTGAATGTTATTTTGATGATCTTTAAGATTAAAGTACATCACTGCCTATTTTTCTGCTGATGCCTAAACTTGAAAAGCTATATAATGTCCCTTCTTTTGAACAAGTGAGCTAAACTGAATCCCACACTCGAGCTCTCTAACAAGGCTCACAAGAAGAGGCAGCACCCCAGTGTTACTCTCCCATATTACGCATAAGGTCACATGTCATTTCGAAAGCTCATGCTCATGTCTTCATTTTCTTTGCTATCAGGGCATTTTTGTGTCACTAATCTGGGTGCCACCAGGCAGTGTTACTTCTCTCTGCATCTCTGTCTTTCTGCCAGCTTCTTTTTTGTCTCTTTAGACCATACACTTGTGCGGTGAGTGCACAACGCCTAGCATAACGCAGCACACAGACAACAAACACGCGCACCCTGCGCTACCAGAACCAATGATGCTTACAGTTTTGCATCCTGCAGTAAGTTCACTACATGGTACAACCTCAGTTGAAGCTTCTCCTGTGCTGGGACACTAGCCATCACACACCAATGCCCTCACTTGCTCTCTGCCCTTGCCTCTCCTCCTGTGGACTCTTCAGCCTCTTTTCCCTCACTCCCAGTTTAAGGGTGGCTATCAGGCAGCACAGTTATTTTGGGAAGAAAACAGAAGACACAAGCAGGCAGGCACAGAGTCTGTTGCTGCGTGAGTCCACCTAAAAATTATGTGTTGCAACTGAATGGTTCCCTGTTTTATCAGAAACCTTCAAGAAGACTGGAGAGCCAACTGAGATTGAGAGAGTCTTGACTGGAAACAAAATATTTGAAATGTATTTGATCAAGAACAAAAAAGACTAAAAATAGCCAAAAGAGGAAGAATAACACCACGTCCCCTGAGTTTTTCCAGTATTACAAGGAGGAGCTTTTGTTCTTTAAACCGCTTGCTGAACAGATGGAGTCTGGCAAGAAAATCTACCCCCGCAGAGCGACACTGTAGCCTACCTGTGTAAACCACTTTGCGCCTGACGGTCAGATTGACGTGACCTTGTTTGGCTGCCTGTTGCATAAGCTGGACGACAAGCTGGTGCGATTTCCCGACAACAGGCGTCCCGTCCACGCAGATCAGTTCATCGCCCGATCTCAGGCGGCCATCAGCATCAGCAGCACCCAGCGGTACAATGTGACCGATGTAAATCTGATGAATTAGCACAAATAGGAGAAAGGAAAGAAGGGAAAGGGAGGGGAGGGGAGGAAGAAAAATAGTGATGAATGAGAACTAGCTCAACAGCCAGCTGGTAGCAACGAGCACTGGTAGTTAGACCCAATTTAGTAGGGAAATTGTTGACAAATGTCTGCTGGTCAGGAAAGTTGCTCCTGTGAAAGCAGATCCATGTGAATATAGCCACATTGTGAAATTGTAATAAATTGACTTCTTGTTTCGTTAGCGGTCCATTCACTGTAATGACAGATAGCCTTGGGAAGAGTGTTCAACCAGACAGTGACCAGAGAGGAAGATGGTTAAAAGCACTGAGGGTCTTGTCAGGGAGGCTGAGACTGAGTTATCCTTTCAGTTGCCTCTAGGGTTTACAAGCTCCGTACCACTCAACTGTCCACTAACTCGGCCTTGGTTTATCTTCAGTGAGTTCTGTGGAGTTACTCTAACATGAGAGGAACTCATGGCCTCTCTTTCCATAAATGAGCAAAATAAGTTTGGCAGGGAAATATGTGGAAATTTATGGTGCCCCTATGTAGCTTTGACCTGTGCAGAAAGACCACGTGTTTTTAGCCTGACACCTTCCACAGGCACTGGTTTTATGGTAAAGAAGCTAAGTGAATTCAAGTAGGGAACTGAACAAATAGAAAACCTGACACTCTAAGATCAAAATACTTGTAAACCTGACCAGGACATCCTTTCCTCAGTGTCCAGGCAATTTCAGACCTTCAGTGTCCGGGCAATTTCAGACCTATGTGTTTTCATTTGGGCTATCACAAAACAGGGAATAGCAGGGGAAGCCAAACCCATTTCATTTATGGGAGATTTGGGCTTTTTTTTTTGGAGGGAGGGTGGGGAGGAGTTGTGGGATGTAAATACATAGCCCACTAGTTATTTTAATCGAGATGCCATGGCACAATTCTGCACATCTGTATGTGCTGCTGCCATGATTCTGCAAGATGTCGCGAGTTAAAACAAGACCGCTTCCAGATGTACTCACAGGTTCTCCAGGCTCATTTCCACCTAGAATCCTAAATCCAAAACCGGTTTCCTTTCTCCATAGAAAGATATCCTGCTCTTGGTAATCTGGAACTGAAGGGAAAGAAGGAAAACTATAATTTTTAATCAAAACCCCACACCTTTATACCCAAATCAGGACTATTCTGATGTTATGTGTAGAGGGATCTGCTGCGCAATTTTACTCTTTAAATGAGGCAGTCTTGAACTTTTAGACATAATTAAGAACATTTATAGGTTTAAATACTAAAGGATTATTATTTAAATCACTACTAAAAATTATATGGTGGTTTCTACTTTCTAGGTGTCTAATTGTGACTTGCCATTTGTTTATCACTACAATATTTCCTTCCATCAGTATTAGCATCATTACCCAGTGCAAGAGCCTCTTTGAAATCATCAATAAATAAATGTGTACAACAGAGAATCACTCTGCCAGAAACAATACAGCTGCCTCCTCTTTCATGGGAGACAAAAGAGCCACTTGTTATGACTTCTAGTGTTTAATTAACTTTCAGAAGCATAGTTTGCTATCTGTCTGCTGACACTGCTTTAAATAGCTACGGGACAGATCCCCAGTTGGTGTAAAACAGAAGGGCTCCACTGAAAGCAAAGCAGCTCTCCTGACTCTCGCTTGCTCGTCTACAGGTTCTGTAAAACCACTGAACAGACAAAAGCAGCTGGAAACATAAAAAAGCTCAACCTTACCTACTCATTAGTATGGAACACCAGCAAGGTTTTTTACAATGAATATTACATACAGTGAAGTACTAACCTTGAAGTGCGGTTGAACAGTAATGTTTTATATTAACTTATTCATGCTTGCTTTCATCCCTTTTTTAAAAATGCAAAATTAATTGCTGACATTAAATCATATCAGAAGACAACTTCAGGTTCATTTAATATTTATTGGTTAGTATGTGTAACATTGACTAATTTTGTAATGATCCCCTCCCAAAATTTATAATTAATAATAAAAAAAGCTGTTCCTTTACAAGTCAGCTGCCTAGGTCTTTAGTAAAGAAACCAAAGTATATTGTTCAGGAATGTAATTTAAATAAGTGCATACTCAGATACGGGCTCCAACAGGTTAATCTATTTTTCTGTACCTATGAGCAGATAAACTGGTTGTTTTCCACTGACATCAGTGAGTGTCAGACTGGGCCCTAATTGCATTTTACACTGTCGGTGCCTGTTGTGCAAAGGTTTGGGTCTAGTCATCTGGTGCTTTTCAGCGTTGAGAGTTTTGGCTAGCTCTGATGCTCTCTCTTCAATGACTCCACAGGTTTAAAATATAATACGAATTTAAGACCTGGGAATACTAAAAATTAAAAGAACAGGTGAGTGCTAAGGCACAGATGTCTGCTCTGACATTTTCATTCAAACTGTTTGTCGCCATTGGGATTATATATCATATTTTCACATTTTGATTACTTGCAGTTATAAACTAAGCTTAAGTCCTGTGCACATTACCTCACTGAACTAGAGGCTAATTTTTGTCCAGATACAATTACAGAATAATCAGGCGATGAACACGCTGGCAGCCTGCGTGGTTCATCTGCTCAGGCGAGCTGGCTGAAGGCAGCTCGCCGCCATACAGGCGTGTGGCACAACAGCAGAACTTAGCCGATGAATTAATTGGTATTTGTCACTGCCTTCAGCGAGGGGGAGCGTGAAGAGCAGACACGTTCGGAAGTGTCTCTCCAGCACTTCGCAGGCTTTTTTGGCAAAGGCTGGCCCCAACCAATTAATAGCGCGTGTTGGATCTGTCAGAGGCAAAATGGCTTCTGCAGAGAGCTTCAGCGTGGGCCCGTTTCCTCGGCATCTCTCAACACCTTCCCATTTGTCAACTCTCCAGTCCCACTGAACGATGCCTTATGTTCCTTGTTCGGCTACCAGCTAGCCAATTAACGGCCGCTGGAGATAACGGCAAGCCGAGGTGTAACGGTGGTGTTAAACGAAAGCAGCAAAAACAAAAAAGACAAGTCTATACCCAAAGAAGCAAGTTCATTCATGTATCGCTCCTTCCGCTGGAAGGATTACAGACAGGTGAAACACAGATACAACAAACATACAGACAACACACATTTACACAGCGTGAGTACAAACCGAACAAAACTCCTTTTACCGCTTTTTGCGCCAACTCCGTGGTATGGTGACTCACTGGCACAGCCCAGAAAACTCCATCCACCTCTGTGCTCCCATACAGCTGAGGTGGAAGCCCCTGAGGCTCTCCATACTGGAGAATTCCTTTAGGTTCTCCATTACTTGGGAGCGCTTCACAGGAGCCACTTTCCTTACTTGAAGGGAAAATTTCATGGTGGTGCTGAAACTTTGTTGAAAACGAATGAAAATGGCCTCAGGAGTCATTCATCGCGCCTTTGCACCTTGACCTGATCTCAAGCATGTCTGACTCTTTGTGGGGGAAAAAAAAAACCCAACAAACGTGTACATAGCCCAGATGGGTAAAACTTGCCAGGCTGCTCACCCTGAATTAAACCAGACCATTTGGAGAGTGTCGCAAAAGTGGTACAGTGGTAAGAAGAGTTCTGCTGGGGCCGTGAGGAGGAATGGAAGGAGAGGCGAGCGCCACAGCCCTGTCGACGAGCCACGCGGGCAAACTCGTGAACGAAACGGGAACACGATACCCCCCACCGCCGCCTACGAAATCCGCCGCTAGCCGGTACACAGTAAAGCGAGTACTTTGCACCTTCATGGCTGACCTTGGCGCGCGGCCCTGCCAGACTCCCTTGGTGATGAAGAGCCCCCCGCCACAGAGCAGCAATGACACCAGAACAAGACATCACAAGACACAGATACATTCTCGGCACAGTCTTACATTCTCCAAAACTCGTGGAATTGATTTCTCTCTCTCTCTCACCCTTGCTCAGTCCAGTTGCAGGCGAAGGTGACATAGCTGTAATATTAATTTTACAATTTTGCAAAGCTTAATGTATCTGCTTTCTTGTTAGTTCATTTAATTAATTCTGACTGTATGGATCATGTTAGGCTTTTCATGCATAAATTGCTAAGGTTATAGTTACTATGGTTTACGACATACTAACTTTCACATCTATTTGCACATGCCTGTGTACATGTGGATATATAATACACACACATATGAATGTATACATTTATACACATGCATGCAGGTATATTTGAAGAACTCTTTTTTTCTCCTGGGAGGAAGAATCTCTTTGAGAACATCTTAAAAATAGTTTTCTACAAAAAAATTTCCACCATCATGACAGAGTTAGTTTTACAAATGGAAATATCTTTTTCTAATGTTAAAAGAAATTCTAAATATATGGTGATGAACAATGAACACAGTGCTTAATTAGAGGTCATTTTAATCAAACTTTCCTATACAAACTTTAACAACTATCTTACATGTTACATTAAAAAAAATTCTGCCCAGTGTGATATCAGTTGCAACAAAAGATGGATTCAAAAATAATCTGTATGAGTTTGCTTTAGTCACTAGCTCATTTGAGGCAGCAGCACTTTCAATGACTCATAGCTTGGCAAAGTACAAAAGTTTTAAGGCCCAGATTCAGCAAAGTATATAAGGACAAGTCTGAAATTAAGAGTGAACAGTCTCACTGAAGCTGATGGAGAGTTTCAGTATTGAAAAGTCCTGTGATTTAGCCATAAATCTCATGAGATTCCGTATTTGCAGGAAAGCCCCATTTTCTAAACTGTCCCGCTGCAAGAGAATTCCAGTTTTTCTGTCCTTCCCTCTTAATCAACCTTTCTGGTGGTATGGAAAGTTTTCGAAAGATGGCTTCAGCACGTTCCTGACAAGATGACCAAGTTCTGCCACTGAGGTTTGGGGAAGGCGCGATGCCTTGACTGAGCCATGGACCAGGCTGGTGCCAGATGAACACCAGCAAAGTCTGCCCACGACCCAGCTCCATCACGCTCCGCAGCCTCTGCTGCTCACGCGACGTGCTGCAAGTACTAGGGTCTTTTTTAGCAAGACATCCTCTAAGGGCACGGACACATCTGTGTGCCCAAGCCTATGGCCGTAACTGTTTGTCTCCTATTAAAATAATGAAAGGACATAACCCTACCAAGGGGCTTTTACTAATGATCATCTTTAAAGTCAGTCTGATCAGAAGGCGGCTGAAGTTTCCTGAGAGTTTTTTTCTTTTCTATTTTTGGGAGAAAATATCTAATGCTTGCTATCATTGTGCAAATATTTTTAATTCTACGTAATTGCTGGTGAGTGAACGCTACACACTGGGGTCAAGACTTGTTTGTATTATTTTAATTAGATTTGGGGAGAGAAAATCCCACCAAATAAACTATGTGCCTGAAAATAAAATTCAAATACTAACGATAACTTAGAGTATTTTAGAAGCTTTAAAAATTACCTATCATGTTCTGCTTTACTTTTAATTAAATGCTTAAGCCCTTCAAAGGGATTCATTAACACATCTGCAATTCAGATTAATTCATTTTGTCACTGCTGTTTTGACAGATGGCCATATGTAGGATATGGTATTTTGCAAAGCAATCAGGCCACATGAGAAAAATTTGACAACAGATTGCGCTAATCTTTAAGGAAGTTTAATAATACATTGAAAAATAAAAAGCATATTATAAAAATATATTTTCAGTAAAACAGTGTGAGATTTCAGAATTGCAGTTCTCTGATGAACTATTCAATTGCTGTTTCTCTCAGCCAGTGCTCTTCACGCATGTCATTCCTGGATCTTGGAACAGCTTCAGTGTTTAAACCTGAAGGGTTTGTCCTTCTCTCCGATTCATGTACACAACTCCCACTAGCAGCAATGAGTTACCCATAAAGAGGAGCTCAGGCAGCTAAAACTTAGCACCAGCAAAGATTGCGTTTGCTATTGCCACCAAATGATCTGTTTTCAGATTCACTCAACACACAGCTGGCTATTCTCAAAAGCCTTAATCCAGCAAGGAATTGAGACTCTGGGCTAGATTGCAGCAGAGCATTTGAGCTCAGCCTTAGCCTTAAAGCATCCAAGTCCCTTTGGGTTTACAGCTTGAAAATAAGCTTCCTTGGACTGGAGCCCAAGCACTCAGCACCTTGCAGGCCTGATCCCCTCACCCAGGGGAGCTGCACGTGAAGGAACTTTAGCCCGTATTTGTTGAATAAAGTTGCAGTTCTCATCTGCTGCCACTCAACCAGAGTCCAGACACAGTTATGGAGCCATTGCTTAGCTTTGCATTACTAATTCTAGCTGAATTTTTCTTTTTTTTTTTTCTTCCCCTAAACAGGCAACGTCTGTGGCTCTCCTCCGCAGAATCTGAGTACTTCCTGATATTAAGATGCATTGGGTAAATAAAAAAATATATGCTTTTACAAAATTATGGGTTATCTGGTGCTTTTTGAACCAAATTCTGCTCTACCAATGGCTTCAGTGAGACAAGTCACATAAGTCAAATACAGTCTTTTTTTATGAAATACTGATCCAAAGAATACTTAAAGAAGGGGAGAACACATTTTACCAATTCTGAAAAATTAAAATGTTGCCTGTGTGCTTTCCATGTCTACATTATTATTATTAATGTTAATAACAGTGGGATGCACTCCCAGTGAAAAGGCAGTAGGTGGTCATTATAGATTCAGTACTTCTTAGAAACATCCTGGAGACGATGTATTCATATATTGAATGAAACCTCTTTATATTATTATTTTTAGATGAAAAAAATTTCTGTCTGGGCTGGGGCTAATGAATTCATCTTCTGGTGTCAACTGCACTTGAAAAATTGCACTATGTTCTCTTTATACTTAACAATTTCACAAATGGCACGAAATAAAACACTGCAGATGATCTAATGCTCTAAAATTCTGTCTTTAACGTCATCATATACTTCAACAGAAAGGGTTGTTGCTGTTTTTCAATCCACTTGTTGGGGATTCAAAACCCTGCCTCTCAGAAGAACAGTTTATAATCCTTCTCAGGTTTATTAAAATTTAAGACCATGAATCAACAGAGAGCAAGCCCTGGAGTGGGTAGCAGGAAGAGCTGGGAGAACTGAGCTGGGGCTCCTTAGGCAGCGGGGGCTTCTAGGACCCACAAAAAGCCCCAGTTACAGGATGCATCAACCAATCTCAGCATTGGCACCTGGGTGGTATCCTCCCGCTCAGGTATGCATTCAGTCCTGCTCACATCTTCATCAGAAGGATGCAGAGAGAGTCCCACCTAGCACCCAAAGCTGTGGATGTCATGGGAGAGGAGATGCTAACCTCAGTCCCAAAGCCAAAGGTAACGGGTGCTCAAGCAAAGAAGAAAGCAGTGATATGACTGTATCACCGCCAGCCAAAGGAGGCACTGGAGTTAAACTGAACCGCAGCTGGGTAAAAACACGAAGAACAGCACACGTGGACCAGACAGACACTGAAACTGGAGGCCCAGGGAACGGTTTCTCCCATCCCATGGTCTGTGGTGCTCCGTATCAACAGAGCTCCCTACGAGTGGTCCGAGAGCCACACAGCCAGTGCTTGGGCAACACTGGGAAGTGAGTCTCAAAGGGGTGATTCACCCTCATAACAGAGCAGCCACCAATTGCCCACTTTTCATGCACACCAAACACAGGGAAAGAAACATGGTGGCTCATCCCAAGCTCCCAGGGCAGAAGAGGTGCTGGGTTTCAGCTGTGAACCACAGTTTCCATTTATGAGACTGGGGAGAAGGAGGAAAGGTGAGGGCTTGGTGAGGGAAGGAGCAAGAGCTAACCACTGACCTCTAAATAAAACCACAGGTCACACTTTGGGATCAGACCGCGTCAGGAGATGGAGCATGTGCAACTGCCTTTTTCACTTAGATTATATCTTTCCTGGTTTTCTTCACCTTTCGTTAGGCGCAGCAAAGCCATGTCACTAGGTAAGAGCGCAGGTTAATCCCCAGGGAATATGTTTCACTCCAGGTTAGGGTTGGAAATTCATAGGCTCCTGGACACTTCTATAGCACATGCTTACAAGGAGACATGACAGTATCACACTTCTGACATTCTCCAGAAACCCTCTATCTATGAAACCAAGAAATCTCAGAAAACACCTTCCTGGGAAGCAAATGGCAATGGGACGAAAAGGTGGTAGAAAAGCACCAATGTTCAAACAGGTAAGTCTCATCTGGTAGAAGAAGCAGGAGATAAGGACTGAAGCAATAGAAGAGGATCAACCCCACTACAGAGACTCTGGACCACAGGAAGGTGAGACAGGGAAGCTGAAGGGGCACAGCAGATCCCAGTCTAGCAAAAGGGCCAAGCAGAGAGGATTGTGGCACAAGGGAGAGATGGGGTGTGGGAAACCAGCAGGTCAAGAGACAGTGAAAAGGCCTCTGGAAGGGCTCTAATCACAGACAAGGATAAAATCTCTACAAGATACCTGCAGCCATCAAGGAAAGAGGGAGGATTTAGCACATGGTGTTGGAGATGGACACAGAAGGGCAACTGCCTGCCTCTGTACTTCAGGATTTCTCCGGCTCAGCCTCGGGTTTTATTGGGAAAGACAGGCAGGAGTTAGAGCTGCTAAGCTGATACTAATGACTAATTAATATGAGTTAAACAGTTAATTAGAAATTAGCTAAGTAGCTGCAGGGGGCCAGAAGCAATGCCAGCATGGTGCCTATGGGAACCACGTGAGCTGAGCAAGGGTGATGCCGGTGCCATGGGACGGCCTCAGCCTTGTCCAACGGGGCAGGAGAAGGAGGAGCTCTGCCCGCGGCTCTGCAGGGCTGAAGCGTCACCCTCCCTCAGCTCTTGCCTCTTTTTCCTATTTCAACAAGATGCACGTACAAATTCTGTCACTGCACTTCTCCGTAGATCAGCATGACCCAGCCCAACAGCCCGCAGGGTCAGTACGCCTAATCCCTGGGAAGGGAAGGCAGCAGCACACAGAAGCTGAGACACCTACAAGCTGCATTGCTGAGACATTCAATCCAAAGAGACGCATCTTCAGCCAAGAAACTATGACTCATGATTTAATTTTTTCAGGACATAAGATTTTGAAGTGATTCATTTGGTCAGAAAAAAACAGTCCTACCATTTTTCTTTCTGGGATAATGTTCATTTCATACTGGTTTTACCGATTTCTAGTTAGCACAATAAAACCAAACTCCAGGTGATACTCTTACAGCACCAAGACTTTGAAGCTCCCTTTTCTGTAACTAAAGTAAGTATTGCTTTTGAAAATGAACCTAATACTCTAACGCTTTCTTTAAGAAGCTTTTACAGATTCGATCATCTTCAGCAATGCAATTAAAGCAAAGCCAGCGTGTTTATTTTGTTTGCAGAGAAGAAACTGATTGCAACTATATTTATAGTCTTGGAGCAGAGTCAAAACCCTGCT